CGCATTACAAAGCAAACCGATACTGTGATGTTATCGTAAACAATGTCCGGATACGATATGTATTCAACACGTATCCGGAGACACTTCGTATATAGTCTATATAGTATTTCCACTCTAAAGCGGTGGCCACCAAGCGCATACGATGGAAACAAAACGTTAGGTCAATAAAAAGTAAGATCGTAAGGGGAAGATAAATTATGAAAACCAATTCAAAATATTTCTGTCTTCGGAACTAGACATTCTATGACTTTATAGCCTCAATTAAGCGCTGTAAGAGTGTGTAGTTAACGATTGTATCTTAATTATTAACTAACAAAGAATTATCAGTAGTTTGTCTTTTATTCCAGTCAGCGTCATTCCYGTGTYAGTCTGCGTATGATGGGCGTATAGGCTGCGCAGTCGATCTACGTATTACGCGCGTCTCSCAGCAGTAGYGTAATAATCCTGCGTATTAAGCTGCAGCTTATTTTACGTATTTTTTGTTGCAATGAGAGTATTCACATATCATGTTTTTGTGACGATGAATTCTCTGTCCTTTCAGTTATTCTTGAACTAAGGGGATGTTTAACGTTGGAATGCCGCCACGATGGCGGATCGCTGCCATGATCGCTACTGTGGATATCGACACGATTTCTTGTCAATTTGCGTTTTGAGAACCAGCCATAAGTCTGGGGAGGAAAAACGTACTTAACGTTAAGATGAATACTTTAAACACATCTTATTTAGGAACAATTTCATGCTGATTATGCAGAAAACACCTGTCAAATAAAACCCAATCTATCTGAACTCCAACCCTGCCATCTTGGATTTCACCCTAACGAAAATTAATGCAATCACAAAGGTCGCGAAAAATATTGGATGATATCCARAATGCGAAAATGTTTTTCGGTTTTGAGTCACAAATAAACAGGTCACCSTAAAAAGGGTTGTCATATCGACTCAAAACTGCTCAAGTGGCTAATGGGAGATWAGTTCAATTCCATCTCGCTGATATATTAGTTTGAATGGGGCTACAGTGGTATACCATAAACCAATGCGGTCTTATGGCTTACCTCCCTTCAAACTGATTCATGCAAACGTACCATAATAACAATAGCAATGACTGCAAGAGCACCAATGCCACCACCAATCCCAGCGTACATTGCGATTTTTGATTGCGGTGACGGTGTTGTCGTGCTTCTCAAAGATGTTATTTTGGTGGTATTAACTGTRATGGATCTTTGCACTGATCGTACTACTGATGTTGACACAATTGCATGTGATAACGTGGACTTCACATGACTTGATGTTATGATATACGACGCAGACTGACTTGACGAGGGGAGTTTAGACTGCTCAGGATAGTTGCGCGTTGGTGACAGCCATGGRGAAGGAGTAACAACTGAAGTTGTGTTGCAAAGAACTAACATATCAGATAGAGAAATAAATTCAATAAGCAGACAGACAGACGAACGGGATGACCGAGATGAGTGTGAGCTCGAATGAATCAGTATGGCTCATAATATTTTATACATGTGAACACTAAGAACTAGTATCTGGCGTTCAATATTCAGTGTCACATTTCATTAAGCCCTAGAAATGAAAAGAATTACTGAAATTACACCAGAAGATCTCCTAGACAGATAGATAGACTGTAAAATTAAGTCTCTACATTTTTCACAATGTATTTCCCTTAAGTATCTGTCAATTAATATGGTCATCATCAATATCCCCCCTCCTCCCCTCCCAAAAAACACTGATCCCACCACTACAACAACAACAACGAAAAATACGCAGTCAAAGACTGCACATGTTGCTAGTGCCTTATACTTATAGCAGGATTTTTTTAATTAAATGCAGTCATTGTAGCGAAAATTGTTTGCTTTTGTCATTAATGAAGCCTTGTCATTGTGGCAAATACAAGGTCCGTGTGACATAGCAACTAGTTTGTATATTCCAAAAATCGTTTGTTCAGTAATCACAACTAAATAGTTTGACGCAAATATCAACTTTCGTGTCTCAATATATATATTTTTTTCTTAACAGTTTCGCAAATCCTTCAAAAAACACTTTCTGTAAATTGAACAATGAATGTGACTATCTACACTATAGGTGCTGGAGGTTATATGGTCACGCGATTTGACTTTGAACACAAAAAAGGTATTCATATTTTTCAGATGAGGTTTAATATGGTTATATTCCACTGAATGATTGTTCTTCTGTAAATGTACGAGCCTTATATATCCATATGATTTCTTATTTGTGAATGTTTGGCATCGAACACTTGTTGTGCTCGAGTTGGCGGGTAGAAAATGCAAACTTTATGCATAAATCAGCCAATAATCTTGAATTATATACCTCCTTTAAAGGAGATAAAAAATCGCGTGCTTTAAAGGTTGTAAATTTGATGTAAATTTGATGTAAGTGTCCAAAATGATGTAAATTTGATGTAAATTTGTTGTTTTAAAATCATTTGCATGAAATTTACAACATTTAAAGCGCGCGATTGGATAATAATCAGCTCTTTTGTGCACAATGTTCAACTCTTTTGAGCGTTTTAGCTACATTTTAGAGCCATTTAACAAGAGAAAACTGTTTGCCGCCGTCTGTCCGCCATTGTGTTCCAACTCACTAACGAGAGGAGAACCGAGTGGAAATACGAGCTTATCCCGAGAAGAACCGAATGGAATGGAAATGGAGTACGAGCTATTCCCGAATTACACTAACTCAAGGGCGATGACATTATGGCTAGCGCCTCTTAGGCACTAGCCACAAAAAGCTGATCACGCGCATCTTAACCAGTAACCATGCTGAAAGATGACTGCAGCTAAGCTGGATAGAGACAATTAGTCTCTATTCAAAAATCACGTCCCAACAAGTTCCATTTTSAAAATTATGAATTATTATCCATTCAAAGATTTGATGGTTCATTTTCGTCGATAAGAATCCCTCAATAAGTGTTTCTCGAATAAATTGACTATGCCTCAATACAAAACTAGGTTTGATTCAACCAGTTTACAAAAACATGCAAAACCACAGTGCTTGACAAAGCATATGACGACCTTTACAAGAAAAAACAATTCATAGTTGTACCAAACAAAGCCTAATGATTAGAACTCATCAAACAAGTAAGCTTTCAGCGACTTACCACCTTCAAGTTTGTAGATAAAGACGGTAAATGCTACGATTCCAAACATCTTTTACCTTAGGCTATGGATTTTTGTTTTGTTAAATCGGTAACTGAAGATGAAATATATCGAGGGGCGAGTGATCAATTTATGTGACCCCGATACAAAATCTCAAAAATGTCACTTCAAGGATATGTCATTATGTATGATAAGTAACATTGATGCTGTACTYTAAAAACCAAAACAGTTCCGTTATAACAACAACAAYGGTAACCACTACCACAACGACGGCAACAAAACTAACAAAAAGATTAACTTAACTCAAGGTGGAGTAAAAACTTGACAACATTGTCATGATAGTTGAAATCTTCACTGTCAAAAGCCTGGTGCGGACAATTTGCACGTTTGTGAGGATACCCGAAAGTTTTGGTGCTAATAGTAGCAAACATCAGATGGTTTTAGTATCTTAACACTCAACTCAAATGCAGTGTCAAATTCACCTCATTTTAAAGGACATAGTCTCATGGACGCCAAGAGAACACGGCAAATTAACAAGAGCACGCATCAATACCAAATATAAGCATTTTCCGTCTGAGAAAAGACCCATTATCCCTGAAAGGTTTATCGAAAAACCTTTTCGATTGTTTCTTTTGCTTTGCAAATAATCTTTTGTTTATGTTTTCTGTTGTTCAAAATCAAAAGATGGCGAATTTCATAGTTATCGTATGTCAGAARATCGCGCAAAGGCTCTTGGATGGGTGGGTCTAATCATTGTAATCATCACAGTACTGAGATTAAAAAATAATATAAACTAAGTTAGGTAAGGCTAAGCAGCCACAATCAGTCAAAAGATAAGAAAATTCTACRATAARATAYTCYAGTTTTTAGAGTCTTTTTCAGAACGTTCACTAACGGCTGTACTCCTCGACTTCAGAAAAATATCAGTTTCATCAGTTTTCAGTGGTAGACAAATGATTTACCGACGGATTAATCCACTCCTCTATTTCTGTTCAATTTCCATATATTGCAGTCGGCAAAAGCGAACTGCGTTTTTTTTGCATGATACAAGCCTTTGCCAAAAGCTCATGAAGTATAACCCATCTGAACGTGGTGATAGGTGACAGGAGAGGATCTTTTCTATTACCTCCATTGTCTTATCCCCAGGCAACGCCTGTTATCACATATTATGGGTGGATTATTTTAGTGCCTGAGAATATTATCTAAACTATTGCAAGCATCTATGGGAAACCCACTGGTTCGACACCGTCACGTACTTACATTCACTTGATGATTTACTGTTACATCCATCTTTTAGTAATATAAAATGAACTGTATTTGCCGAATTCTGATAGGAGTATTAGTCTGAGGCGGCTTTCTTCAAGAGCTTTGCTACTTGATAAGACTAAAAATATTATAGAAATAAAAATATTTAGCTGAATGAAGACACAATTCAAATGTGGCAATTGAATGTTTCCCACTAAAAAAGTACTGTTTTGATGAAATAAAAATTCAGTTATGAAAGCAGAAATGAATTAACTTAACCTTTATATCCCAATTTGCCATCTGAATATAACAGATCGACGCGACGGCATCAACTCGGGTTATTGCTTTCTAGTTTTTTTTTTAATACCAGAGGAAACTCTAACAAATGCGCGCATGATCAGTAATCTTGTCGGCTTTGGAGGGATCACTTGACTCGAGGTCAATTACCTTCATTTTGGTCGATGAGAGGCAGCGATTTCCATGAAGTTCCCATCACAACATTCTTATCGTTCGTGATATTCCAACCCCCAGCACAGTCGCTTACTGTCAATCAACAGCCCTTGAACACTTGGTTGTATATAAACTGATGCTTTATCGTAGCGTTTTGGAATATCTTATTATCATCTTATTATTGTATTATTATCATATATATATATGTTATTAATATAGAGAACGAAGAACAATACAAAAGTGCTACAACAACGCTACGAAGGCGTATCAGTGTGGACAGAGTCTATGTGCGAAATATTGTATTCTTTGATAAACTGTACTCCTTGGGATACCTGTGTTTTAAATCAACATGCTGACCGTGAACCTGRATATCTGTTATGTTACTATATCATTGTTCGCGCTGTTGTTGTTTATGTCTACTATTTTACCGTATTTTGTCGATGTATTTCAAATCATCATTGAGAAATATGCTTTGTAAACAACACCTTACCATTAAATAAAAACAAGTAAAGATGAATGAAAATAAATGAAAATAAAAGAGTGAAAAATGAGATTTGCAATGATCAGGTTTTAATCAGTCTGACAATGCTGGTACTTCAGGCGATTTTGCATTTTTTTTGTCATGATTCTCAGACGTATACTGAAAGGTAAGCTTCTTCGGAGGTCAATCCAAGGGGTGATATTGCAGCTCCTTCAAACGCACCATCGCTTTTGTGTAATTTCTATTATAATTTCCACCAGACAAGCTCAGACAAATACGGATCTTTAATCAGTTTTGTATCCGATAATAGATTACGTAAAACAGTGAAGTCTTTKMGGTAATTTYATTAGAMGAAAGAAGAGTGTATCGTGCGTCTTGGCATCAATCAGGTTTAATCCTAGAGCAAATGGCAGCYAACGACGGTAAACACTTCAATTATTACACGATTTGTGGCTTGTATATTTATAACTTATATGCAACCACTGTAACATTTACCATGATTAAGTATGCACTTATCTTAGAAAAGAATTCTTCTGTTCATTTTCATGTATACACATAAAAAAAAATGATAACATTCAACGTAAATACTCGTTTGAATTCATTGAGCAAAGTTAAGCAACTTCAAATGAGTTTACAATAATGCTTTTTGTTAAGAAGCTAGTAGGAAGTACTATGATTTAGATAGTGAAATRTTTAGTAGGTGACATCGCTTAAATTATGGCCGTGATGTGTTTTAAATTGATTTGATTGAGCTCAGCACTACAAGTATACTCTATTGATACCATACATCAAATCACAAAAGATGTTAGATCAATGTAACTGTTTCATTTAATATCAAAATTGTTTCAGAGTTTTAACAGATCCATAAATTATTTCAAAGGGTATCTTTGAATTAAATGTTTTAAGATTCTAATCGCTTATAGACTCAAAAGAGGAGATCGATTGCGGGCTTCATTCAATCAACACTCTCTGATAAAAAATGCATTAAATTCGATTTTTTCTCGCGTGATGATTCATACCATGGTAAAATAGATGTTTGGTGGTTTTGCGATGTATCTATTTATCTAAGTTACCACGTGGACACCCATTCAAATGTATATTTGTCAGTCATTGGCAGCGTTAACCAATAAATATCAAGAAAGGTACGCAGCTCATGCCATGCTTAAAACTATTACTTATGATATGTCTGAATTTTCAAAAAAGACGTCTACGGTCTGACTACTAGCTGCGTATGGCACATTGTATGAAAAATATTCATAAAAATAGAGAACAAACAAGACTTCAAAGCCCGTGCTCGGCTCTGGCTCGTACTGGAACCTAAGTCCAAAGACATTGGACATTGGACGTTGTGCTCCTTTTGAATGAACTATTTTAGTACATTTCGTGAGTTTTCGACAGAGGAAGGAAAACTAGAGCACTCAGGACTAGACAAGAGGAGGGAATATACCGACAGAAACAGTGTCTATATGCTATAAACAGGCGACCAGAAATATGAGCCTGAGAATGGAGGAGTACTTGAAGAAGCTGTGATTACTTACTCGTTCTTTAGGTATTACACAGACAAAACAAGAAATGCCAGCCGCAAAAACATCTTGACATTGTTTTGATTTCATTATAATTTTTAGTCTTATCAAGTAGCAAAGCTCTTGAAGAAAGCCGCCTCAGACTAATACTCCTATCAGAATTCGGCAATTTATTGTTGATTCATTGATATTTATCAGAGATAAAGCAAGCAGTTAATGACCCATAACAGTATTTATAAACATATCACTATACAAAGTCTTTGTTCATATGACGTCATGTTTATTTGGAGAAGTACATGTAGAAGTATGGCGCACGGGTGCTTAAAAACTACACAGACTACAAAGATTTTGGACAACATTGTGTGTATGCAATTGCCTTGTAAGACAAATTATGCCTTTAGATCAGTTCTTCCTAAAATTTGCCTGGTGTTTGATTATAATAATATGAATTGCCATAAAAGCCCATTTATTCAGAGCGATGAGAAAGCCATTTTTTTGTTTCCTCTCAGCTCTTTCAGACTTTTTCATTTTTGGAGTTTTCTTTGCGACCCTAACCTGGTTGAAACCATCAAGTTAGATACATCAAATAAAATCGTATGCTAATGTTCTCTATTTGCTCCTTCTATTTCAGCCATCTATTCATGATGTTTTTTTGCTGTCATCAAATAAGTGGAAGAAGCTCTACTTTATTCCAGTCAGTTCAAAAAGGTTCATATAAGATTTCCTGCAAAAGCAGATTATAGGTTCAGATTCGATAGTTTTTCAGTCATGTAATCATTGAACCTTTAATGCTATCTGAACTGATGTTGGTAATAAAACACTAAGTCTTTTGAATGGCGTCAAATCGGTGCCGATGTATATCTTTATTCGTATTTAAGAGTTATCTTTGGGCATTTGCCATCAAGGTAGCGCAGATTTACTCCAACAGCAGCCGGCCACATGCTCCATCAAATTCTTCATAAGTTACTAAAATAGAAGAGAAACTACAGTTTTATCAGTACACCTTAGCACCATGTGCTGGAACAGATTTAACTTATCTTCATTATAAATAGAATAGTTGCATTCCATGCTTAAAATCACTCGCTTGACATTAGCCCTTGGATGATCGTTTTTAATGAAATTARCTCGGTCAAGCACTATATTATCAGCTCTTGCCGGCCACCAGGAATGATCTTCGGCTTAGTTTAAGTCTATTTTTTATTTTTGTTTTTAGTTGAAAGTAAAGCTGGACAACAAAGTTCAGAAGCTGAATTGACGCAATTCGACAACTACAGAAATGGTGGACTTCTTGGCGGACTCGTGAATGTGGAGCCCCTCTCTGGAAGCATGTATGCACTGGGCGAGGACTCGCTCCGCAACGGATCAAAAGGAAAATTCATCCTAAAAGAGGAATCTAGAAAAAGAAAACATTTGGTTAGCAGAAAAGGACT